GTAATTGAATTTGAAAAGATAACTTCATAGTCCAATTTTTAGAACAAATAAGTTCCTAATCCCATTTGCGGATATAAAAAGTTGGGCAAAAGGACACTATAAGTGCCATAAGTTGTGTATGGAGATCACTTTGGTGCCATAACTTTTTTTCGGATCACTTTGGTGTCAACTTTTTTGAAAAACGATCACTTTAGTATCAATCTGCGACATGGCCACCGGAAATCGACGTGGCTCTTTTTTATTAATTTCCGATCTTGACATGGCTCACCGGAAATCGACGTGGCTCGCCGGAAATCGACGTGGCTCTTTTTTTTTGGCCGAGTCACTAAAGTGATCTATTTTCCTCCGATTTGGCACCAAAGTGATTCGAAAAAAAGTTATGGCACCAAAGTGATCTCCGTACATAACTTATGGCACTTATAGTGTCCTTTTGCCTAAAAAGTTGCAACAACACTTATCCACATAAAGTTACAAAAGTCTATAATAGCATCATAAACATAACCACCCAGCGGTTACGTTTTTATGTTGATTGCCCGTTTGCGAGTTATCGATGCTCTTCACTAAACTTTACTAGGTTTTTTCATCGATGACTTCTGCTGTTCACTAACCTCTGCTATTATCAATTGAGTCTATTACTTATCAATTATTAACAAAAGTTGGTCATTTTTTTTTTTTGTGTCAATGTATGCCCCTTTTTAAGAGAATTGAATGATTTATTGATTCTTTTAAATTAGATAATCATGGTCATCGTATGCCCCCTTGTCATCGGCAAAGTTCATTTTTCCCCATCGAATTGTCTCTTGAATTGTTTTCTTAAAAACAATACAACTAATTGTGTTATGGCTCCTTGAATGCCACTTGCAATATTTTTTGTTTACTTTTACTGGGAATAATTTGGCATTCCATTAATTTTATCAGGCCATGGTTTAAGAGTAAATCGAAAATTTCGTCTAACTCGCTATTGTCGAACAAGTAAATTTGAGTGTCTTTAGCCTTCACCATTTATTTTATTCTAGCAAGCTTTAAGGAACAACAAACGTAAGGCTTGTCAAGTATAATTTTTTCCACACTTATTTCAATATTTTCATTATGGTCAAATTCATACTTTGACTCATAATATTCCATTAAAGCCACGTTTTGTGCCAAGTTTTCAGGTGGCCTTCTATCTCGGTCTTTAAGACGTTGCTCAAACTTGCACACTCTTGTTGCCAATTGAAATAAATCGACAAAGTCTTGGCCTTCGAATTTTTCTCTTAAATTGAATTTCAATCCATTGAAAGCTAAACTCGTGAACTCTTTTTTTGAGAGTAAAGTAAGGCATTTATCACTAGCCTTCTTAATCGAACAACCAACTGATTGACCGATTCATTATTATACTGATATAGTTTGGCCAAATTAGCATTTTAAACTTCAGGTATCGCTCAATAAAATTGAGAATGAATATATTTTTCCATCTTTTTTCAATTACACACAGAATTAGGTGATGAATTGGTGTATAGGTAAAAGCAATTTTTGACAAGACAAAGGAAATAATCTGAGCCTTAAAAACTCGTTTGTCCCTGCTTTCCCACACTAGCTTATAAATACAATATGGTTGATGGTCGATTGTTCATCTTCACTAATAAAAACAGCAAATTCATGCATTTTGAAACCTTTTGAAAAAGGCTAATTATCGACCCATAAACGAGTATGATAACATCCCTATCTAATCCCAATTGTTATTAAACTTCTTTGACAAACTGTGCTGGGTTCAATGGTGGATTCGGTTGGCCATCTTGCCCCTCAAGCGATGATGCTAGTTTTATGGGATTATCTATGTTACTCGGTATGTTAGGCCTAACAAGAATATTCACATTGAGTGGTACCAATGGAGCCACTGGCATAACATTTCCAACATTTACAATTGACCATCCTATCAACCAATGTGATGTGCTGTAGGGATGAAGAGTGAAGATGCTTGAAATAAGAATACATTACTCTTGTACCTTCTGGTCTATTTTAACTAATTTTGCAAAATTAACCATAAGAAATGCCAACATTCTTAATTATGCCTGCATTTTTATTGCTATATTTGTCTCAAGGGGCAAAAGAAAACGAAGAGAAAGAAGCAACTAAGGGCGACATGTCCTGATTGGTTTTATCATTTCAACTAAGGGTCCGTTTCTTCAAAGTAAAAGCTTAAGCCAATTATTACTTAGCATAAAATGATCGATTTGGATAGATAGAGATTTCGTAATATGATAGCTTATAAAAATCGCTCAAAAATAGTACAAAGTAAGCTTTATAGATACTTGCACAAAAAAAAACTAGAATTTAATTTCACTGTAGCCATTAAGCTTGTTGATTTCTTGGCTGCTCGATGAGTCGATTCGATCTCTAATGGTGCTCTATAGTCTAGAACTACTATGCTCAGACTTAAACAGTTGATACGAGAGGAGAGAAACATTTGATGATAATTTATCGTTGTTGTAAACTTTTCAACATCCTATTCGTTAATATTAAGTTCTAATGAAGTCCCTACGTGCTATAAATTAAATAATGACAGTACGCTACTTTGAAGTCTACGAAGCCATGTGCACAAATCGGTCTTGCAAAAAGAACTTCATGGGACATATATCATGACTTTGGAAATTACTTTCAACTTACCATTAATATAATATTAACTAGAAGTTTACCCATACTTTGCGCGGATTGTCATATAAAATTATAATTAAAATGGAGTATGAAACATTTTAGCATGAATACATCATTATTTCAACGCATCCTTTACTCCACAAGGTAACTGTAAAACTCAATTATCAAAGTTCAAAACAATTAATTAGTATGAAATTGACATTGAGAAACATAATATAACAAACTATGTATCGTACAAATTATGCTATCCTAAATGCATATGGATGATAGATTCTATCGTCTACTAACTAACATGGTAAAAACTTTAAATTATATTATTATGATAAGATAAAATATATTTTTAAATACAAATGAGTTAATATCAAATAGTAGAAGAATGAAGGAGGAGGAGAAGGATGAGAGAAAATAAATTAGTGCATAGATGTTTTGCTACTTTTGTGGAGAAAACAACGACATTTTTTCTTACAATGAGAAGAGGCCAATACTAGTAATCTACAATCCTAAGCAACACACTTAAAGACAAACTTATTACACTGCATTAATATATATATATATATATATGTGTGTGTGTGTGTGTGTGTGTGTGTGTGTGTGTGTCGTTAATCTAGGTATTAAACTCTAAACAGGGTGAATGGTTGAAAAATCACTATGAAACCAAAGATACATTTCCTTATCACAAAATTCACCATTGCTTCGTCAAGTGCTCTTTTATCCTTGAAGATTGAACAAGTTACAAGAGCAATATCCTAAGCTTTTTTGGGTTTTTCTAGGATTAATACGACAAAAAATTCCAAACTGGTACACCTGTGACAAATTTACCAAAAACTAATTTTTTGACCACCGAAAACTCCAAGCTAGTACATATGTGCCAAATTTACCCTCCGTTAGTTTCCGTTAAATTTTACCGTCAAATTGCTAAGTTAGATGACACGTGGCAGTTGACGAGTATATTAGTTTAGGGTTTTACCTCTCATTTTATCACAGATTTACCTGTTTATGATTTTTCGCGATATCAATCCAATTTAACGGAGGGTAAATTTGTCACAAGTGTACTAGATTGGGGTTTTTGGTGATCAAAAAATTAGTTTGGGGTAAATTCGTCACAGGTGTACCAGTTTGGGGTTTTGGTGGTCAAAAAATTAATTTGGGGTAATTCTGTCATAGATGTACCAGTTTGGGATTTTTCGTGGTATTAACTCTTTTTTTTACTACACTCTACTTCTTCTTTTTTTAATCTTCGCCTCCACTAGTGTGTTTGATTATACATTTTCGGGGTAATGTTACTAGCGCTCCTTCTAATTTTGTCTGAATCACTCCCCTTTTTTTTATATTTAAAATTGTCAATTAATTGAGAGAGAGAGAGAGAGAGAGAGAGCGCGCTAGCCCATGAATAAGCCATAGTGCAGCACTCGCCGCAGAATCAGTGACAATCATGAAGATATGTTGATGATGCGAGTGAAATTGGTCAGTGACGAGTGTTTTTATCGCGGCTGCGAAGGACTAACATAAAACATGTTAAGAATTAGAAGAACAATTTTGAATAAAAATAAAAGTAGAGTTATGATTATTAATTTCGGTCAAAAGTAGAAGGAGCACGGGTGATATTATCCGGGAATTTGGCCAAATTGTCCTCGGCATCATGACCGAAGCAGCGCCCCGTTTGGGAAGTCCAAAATCGTCTTTGCAGAAGCAAATTCGTCCCACTTTCCAAATGAGCCACTTTTCGACCAAAAAAAAAAAATGAGCCACTCATCTTCAATTGAGAATCTTCTTCCTCCCCAGCTTCCATTGACTCATGGTCAATCTCAAGTCAACACAACCGAAACTACTTGATCACACAATTCACGAACCAACTGTTGGTTGTTTGTTTGTAAAACAAACAAAATAGTGCATTTTCCTTTGTCCACATAGGAAAGTTTTGAAAAATTGGCCACTTTATAACGTGAATATCTTCGCTTTCTTTAGAGTGAAACAGATAAGGTGTGTCTTGGTCATGTAATACATACTACAAGCGTGCTTGGGTGCGTGATTATTAGGCGCACTTAGCACTTGGCGCGATAATTAACACTAATCCTTTATATTTTTTATCTTATTTCGTAAGGTTATCTTATTAATTTTTTTTATTATTTGAAAGGTTGTTTTTTGTTTATTAAGTAATTTTCGAAATTATGAAAATTCGGAATTATATATTTATTTATGAAAACAAAAAAAATGAGCCACTCATCTTCAGCTGAGAATCTTCTTCCTCCCCAGCTTCCATTGACTCATGGTCAAAATCAAGTCAACACAACCGAAACTACTTGATCACACAATTCACGGACCAACTCTCTCTCTCTCTCACTCACTCCCGAAGCAGCTCTTCAGAGCCATTTCTTTGAAGCAGAGTTTCATGCTCTTCCCTCTGGTTCCATGGCAAAGCTTCTTCACATCCATGGAGCCCACGCCCCTGGCCTCGTTCTCTTCTTCGTCTCTCTTCACTACCCACTTCTTCTTCTCGCTCTTTCCTCCGCCTACACCACCCAGACCAAGCACTTCATCAATTGTGGATCAAGCAACACCGAAAAATATATCAACAGGGACTTTGTCGGGGACACGAGTTCTGACTCCGTCTCCTTCACAAAACGGAGTACCTCCTCCACCCAATCCAGCAGCCAATCATCGAGCGTCTCACCTATCTACGACACAGCAAGAATCTTCAGAAGCCCTTCGTCACAATACGTTCTTGATGGAACCGATAAAGGTACTCATATGGTGCGACTCCACTTTTTCCCTTTCGCTTCCACAAGCAATCTCTCCGCGGCTGTGTTCAATGTTTCTGTAAAGGGGCTCACACTTCTCAGCAATTTCCAAATTCCCAGTAGTACCAACTCTCCTGTAGTGGAGGAGTTCTTGCTTAGCATAAATAGTACTAAATTTGTACTCTATTTTAGTCCTCAAGGGTCATCCTTTGCATTTATAAATGCCCTTGAAGCGTTCCTTGTGCCAGATAGAGTCATTCCTGATTCTGCTCCGAGTGTGGGCACTTCAGCGATCAATAGCAGCAACAATAGTGGAAATTCCTCCCAGGTCTCGCGAGCAGTTTATCGAATAAACGTCGGAGGCGATGAAGTAAATCCGGTTGATGATAGTTTGTGGAGAAGTTGGAATCCTGATGATAATTACATACATGTCCCAAATGCTGCACAAAACAAATCTAGCTATGGTGCTGGTCTTCATTACCAGGATGATCAAGACCAATACTTAGCATCAGAACGGGTCTACTTGACTGCTAAAGTGATGAATGTGAATTTTACCAATGGGGAATTATACCCCAACACCACCTGGAGTTTCAAGGTGAGTGCAAACGCCTGGCACTTGGTCCGGGCTCATTTCTGCGACTTCATTAGCCCTTCTCTCAGGACGGTGTTCTTCAATCTCTATGTTAATGGGAATCTCACTGAGTACATCGACCCATATGGTACAAAGGGGATATATCAGCTTGTGGTTCCTTTTCATTATGATTTTGTTGTTCAACCGGGCAACTCAGGGCTAGTGAACATCAGCATAGGCCTCCTTAATGCCTCAGACACAACATATCAGCGAGCCTATCTCAATGGCCTGGAGATAATGGAGATAATAGGGTCGTGGGACTCGGATTTTGTGCCCGCAGAGGGCGGTAACCAGAATAAGCACGTCGGCCTCATGATTGGGCTAGTTTCTGGAGGCATCGTGCTTCTTTGCATATGTGTTTCTGCTGCGATCTTCATATGCAAGTATAGAAAGCCAAAGAGAACCGAAATTTCGGCTTCGTCGCGGTTGCCTGCATTCGGAGGAGGCAGTTCTCACAGTAAACTGACTGAGCAAAGTACCCACGGCTCTGCTGTCCCTAATTTTCATCTAGGGCTGAAAGTACCCCTTGCTGAAATCCATTTCGCTACCAACAACTTCGATGGCAAACTTTTGATTGGAAAGGGCGGATTCGGCAATGTCTATAGAGGAACTCTCAGGGACGGCACTAAAGTTGCCGTGAAACGGAGTGAGCTGGGGTCGGGACAAGGCTTCTCCGAGTTCCAAACAGAGATCACCGTTTTGTCCAAAATCCGCCATCGCCACCTTGTATCCTTAATTGGGTACTGCGCTGAACGGTCTGAGATGATACTTGTTTACGAGTTTATGGAGAAGGGGAGCTTAAGAGATCGCCTGTACAATTCCGATTTCCCATACTTACCATGGAAGCAAAGGCTTGAGATCTGCATTGGAGCGGCCCGGGGCTTGAATTACCTCCACAAAGGTGCAGCTGGAGGAATTATTCACCGTGACATCAAGCCCACCAACATTTTGCTTGACGAGAATTACGTTGCAAAGGTCGCTGACTTTGGTCTGTCCAAGTCGGGGCCGCTGGATCAAAGCCAAACACATGTGAGTACGGGGGTCAAGGGCACCTTCGGGTACCTCGATCCAGAGTACTTTAAGACCCAGCAGCTGACGGAAAAATCAGATGTGTACTCGTTTGGAGTGGTTCTTCTCGAGGTGCTATGCGCAAGGCCTGCTATCGACCCTTCGCTTCCTAGAGACCAGGCAAACTTGGCTGACTGGGGCATTACATGCATACAGAATGGAATCATTGAGCAAATAGTGGATCCTCATCTTGCTGGTCAGATCAATCCTAACTCGCTGAGGAAATATGGGCAGGTTGCTGAGAAATGCGTGCAAGAAGAGGACGAAAAGAGGCCTAGCATGGGCGATGTCCTCTGGGACTTGGAATACGCCTTGCAGCTTCAGCAAACTGCGGTGAAAAGAGAGATGTACGACGACAGTGTAACCGACGGTTCATCCATATTGACTCTTTCAAACGTGAGGAAGCTCCCATCATTTAGCACGGACACGGTCGAGGAAGAGGGTGTGGGCAAAGAAGGGGCGGATAGCTCAGAGATGTCCATGAGTGGAGTTTTTTCCCAGATGAAGATTGATGAAGCCATATGAGTTTCATGTTGCAGTATACTTATTTAACGTGTTTCTGAGTAGTTTTCAGATTAGCATTCTATATATCTGAGAATGAAGTGTGCATGTACCAATCGTCGTAAATTCCATCTTGTTGAAGCATCTGATTTAATGATAGTTGTTGCTGTTGTAATGTGTAAGCGTATTATTGTTTATTGTACAAGTGAGGGCAACATTTGACCGTGATAAATCCGAATGCGAGAAATATTGTACACCCCTTACTTGCAGACCTTAAATAAATACTTGTTTGACAGATTGCACCATGGATGTCCTGCTCTGTAATTGTTATCAGTAACGATGTTATATGGCTTTTATAATTATGTGCTATTATTGGAGATTGCACACGCCCTATTGTTATTTCTTTTAATGGATTTCAATAAATTTGGTTAGACTCGAGATTTCATATTCATCGATCGTTCAGAGCATGAGCTTCCTATATAATCCCAAAAAACTACTTTGCTGTTCTTCATCATGCACCGAAAATGTTTTGCTGCTGAATGGCTTTCGACTCAAATTTCAACCTGTTTGCAGTATAATTTGTGCTGTCTCTGCTTTCAAGGTGGATAAAGTCCTCTTTGTCCGGGTCGGCAATTTTTTTAATCTGGTCGTGCTTCAGCTTTTTCGTTTTCTTTGGAAGTAATGAGCTTTGTTGTCTTGGTTGCGTTTTACTCCTATCCAGGTCAGAGGAAATATTACGTCCTCCCATCACTTGATTTGTGTATTTTGTAGATGCGTAAATTGATCATTTCATATTTATGCGGAACAAGTAAATTATTTGTTGTTATACTTTATGAAATTTATTGGCAAATGTCTTTTGCAGAGAAACTTATACTGAGCTTGCTTCACTGAGTATTGCTCTATGGAGGAAAAACTTAGGATTGATTGTAGGTTCTTATGCTATTTTCTCCCTATTAAGATGTCTTATAGAGATTTGACTTGAAGGGATTAGAGAAGAGTTCGTCAGGGATGACTCGACCCATTTCCTAGCCCTTTTTAGTGGGTTTGGTGTATATCCATGTCCTCCTCAAATGTGTTAGTCCGTCATTGGCTTGTGCCCTCGTGACGTGTGGCAACTTATGTACCACCGATTTTCCTCACACATGGATTGCCACATTGCACCTTCTTGCTCGGCCCTCTTACTATAAACAGCCCATTAGTTTACTCATTTGGAAACTTTTGGCAGTTGGCCCTCGAAACTTTTGGGACTTCTGAATATTAGGATGCTCTTCCATCGACTTCAACATCTTCAGACTTTGGAGCTTCGGCAAATAATCATTGAGAAGCTCTCCACAAGAAGTGCTATAGTAGAAATTCTTCAATTCCACTTGGCATTCAAGTCTACTAGAATTGACCACTCCTCAAGCAGGCCTTGCCAATATGTCAGCCTTTCCACGTCGATGACGCGAGCCGTCAAATTCGTACCCACTATTGCCAAGCCCTCTTTTCTCTCCTCCCTCCATTTCACCTGGTCGTCTCTCTGTCGTTGAGCAACCCCAGATCGGCTTAGATGTGCGATTGACGTTGGTGCGCGATCCTCCATGGTCAATGATCTTCGTTTCTGACCTTTCATGGAGTGATGGGTCCTAGCCGTGACGGGGGAATTTGGGTTGTTGTCATGGTGGTCGATAATTTGCTTGCAGTGGACCACTACATTAATGCCGGCAGGCGCGGAGAGGCCGAGTGCGAGAGATTTTGTGTGCATGACGGCGGGGTGGAGTGGTGTAGCGGCCATGGCCACGTCTCCCATTTACTCTCTCTCTCTCTCTCTCCACTGCATTGTTGCTAATTTCGGGTTGCTTAAAGTTGGATGCAGCTAGTTGTACAATTATCACTGTTAAAATATTGCACATCGCTTGACCATGGGGTTCATATGTTCTTTATTTATGTATAGTCTTTCTCCACATATCAGTTTAAGCTTTTGGGTTAAATTTTTTTAACATGGTGTCGGAGTTAGGTTCCCCTCTAATTTATTGCGTGTACCCCACCATTTGTCAAATTTCATATGTCACTCATAATCCTGCTTGCACGGAAGAGAGAGTGTTGAAATATTCCATGTCGCTTGACTTAGGGTTTATATGTATTTAATATGCATGTGGTCTCTACCTATTAGCTTAAACTTTTAGACTGGACTTTTTAATAGTTACGACCTCTGTTGCCGAGACACTCACACACATGATGCGAACTTTGTAGAGAGAGAGAGAGAGAGAGAGAGAGAGAGAGAGAGAGAGAGAGAGAGAGAGAGAGAGAGAGAGAGAGGTGATGGTGCTTCACTCAAAATGATGAAAATATCATTCTAGAATATGAACGGATTAATATGAATCGACAAAAGTTGTAAAATGTCCTTGTTGATTTTGGATTAGAAAGTAAATGAGAAGAAATTTAAATATACGAAAACTGGAGGCTATTGCAGCCATCTATGTAAATTATGGAAAAGTAAATATTAAAGATACAGTTGCAAAAATGTTAAATTCTTCGAGTGTTTGGGGGGTCATTTACAAAGAGTACAATGTGACTATTTATAGCCTATAATCGACGATTACAAGTGGTAATTGAATTTGAAAAGATAACTTCATAGTCCAATTTTTAGGACAAATAAGTTCCTAATCCCATTTGCGGATATAAAAAGTTGGGCAAAAGGACACTATAAGTGCCATAAGTTGTGTACGGAGATCACTTTGGTGCTATCACTTTTTTTCGGATCACTTTGGTGCTAACTTTTTTGAAAAACAATCACTTTAGTGCCAATGCTGACATGGCCGCCGGAAATCTGACGTGGCTCTTTTTTTATTAATTTCCGATGCTGACATGGCTCATCGGAAATATGACGTGGCTCGCCGGAAATAGAACGTGGCTCTTTTTTTGGCCGGAATTTTGGTCGGAGTCACTAAAGTTATCTCTTTTCCTCCGATTTGGTACCAAAGTGATCCGAAAAAAAATTATGGCACCAAAGTGATCTTCGTACACAAATTATGGCACTTATAGTGTCCTTTTGCCTAAAAAGTTGCAACAACACTTATCCACATGAAGTTACAAAAGTCTATAATAGCATCATAAACATAACCACCTAGCGGTTACGTTTTTATGTTGATTGCCCGTTTGCGAGTTATCGATGCTCTTCACTAAACTTTACTAGGTTTTTTCATCGATGACTTCTGCTGTTCACTAACCTCTATTATTATCAATTGAGTCTATTACTTATCAATTATTAACGGAGTCACTAAAGTGATCTCTTTTCCTCCGATTTGGCACCAAAATGATCCGAAAAAAAGTTATGGCACCAAAATGATCTCCGTACACAACTTATGGCACTTATAGTGTCCTTTTGCCTAAAAAGTTGCAACAACACTTATCCACATGAAGTTACAAAAGTCTATAATAGCATCATAAACATAACCACCCAGCGGTTACGTTTTTATGTTGATTGCCCGTTTGCGAGTTATCGATGCTCTTCACTAAACTTTACTAGGTTTTTTCATCGATGACTTCTGCTGTTCACTAACCTCTGCTATTATCAATTGAGTCTATTACTTATCAATTATTAACAAAAGTTGGTCATTTTTTTTTGTGTCAATGTATGCCCCTTTTTAAGAGAATTGAATGATTTATTGATTCTTTTAAATTAGATAATCATGGTCATCGTATGCCCCCTTGTCATCGGCAAAGTTCATTTTTCCCCATCGAATTGTCTCTTGAATTGTTTTCTTAAAAACAATACAACTAATTGTGTTATGGCTCCTTGAATGCCACTTGCAATATTTTTTGTTTACTTTTACTGGGAATAATTTGGCATTCCATTAATTTTATCAGGCCATGGTTTAAGAGTAAATCGAAAATTTCGTCTAACTCGCTATTGTCGAACAAGTAAACTTGAGTGTCTTTAGCCTTCACCATTTATTTTATTCTAGCAAGCTTTAAGGAACAACAAACGTAAGGCTTGTCAAGTATAATTTTTTCCACACTTATTTCAATATTTTCATTAGGTTCAAATTCATACTTTGACTCATAATATTCCATTAAAGCCACATTTTGTGCCAAGTTTTCAGGTGGCCTTCTATCTCGGTCTTTAAGACGTTGCTCAAACTTGCACACTCTTGTTGCCAATTGAAATAAATCGACAAAGTCTTGGCCTTCGAATTTTTCTCTTAAATTGAATTTCAATCCATTGAAAGCTAAACTCGTGAACTCTTTTTTTGAGAGTAAAGTAAGGCATTTATCACTAGCCTTCTTAATCGAACAACCAACTGATTGACCGATTCATTATTATACTGATATAATTTGGCCAAATTAGCATTTTAAACTTCAGGTATCGCTCAATAAAATTGAGAATGAATATATTTTTCCATCTTTTTTCAATTACACACAGAATTAGGTGATGAACTGGTGTATAGGTAAAAGCAATTTTTGACAAGACAAAGGAAATAATTTGAGCCTTAAAAACTCGTTTGTCCCTGCTTTCCCACTCTAGCTTATAAATACAATATGGTTGATGGTCGATTGTTCATCTTCACTAATAAAAACAGCAAATTCATGCATTTTGAAACCTTTTGAAAAAGGCTAATTATCAACCCATAAATGAGTATGATAACATCCCTATCTAATCCCAATTGTTATTAAACTTCTTTGACAAATTGTGCTGGGTTCAATGGTGGATTCGGTTGGCCATCTTGCCCCTCAAGCGATGATGCTAGTTTTATGGGATTATCTATGTTACTCGGTATGTTAGGCCTAACAAGAATATTCACATTGAGTGGTACCAATGGAGCCACTGGCATAACATTTCCAACATTTACAATTGACCATCCTATCAACCAATGTGATATGCTGTAGGGATGAAGAGTGAAGATGCTTGAAATAAGAATACATTACTCTTGTACCTTCTGGTCTATTTTAACTAATTTTGCAAAATTAACCATAAGAAATGCCAACATTCTTAATTATGCCTGCATTTTTATTGCTATATTTGTCTCAAGGGGCAAAAGAAAACGAAGAGAAAGAAGCAACTAAGGGCGACATGTCCTGATTGGTTTTATCATTTCAACTAAGGATCCGTTTCTTCAAAGTAAAAGCTTAAGCCAATTATTACTTAGCATAAAATGATTGATTTGGATAGATAGAGATTTCGTAATATGATAGCTTATAAAAATCGCTCAAAAATAGTACAAAGTAAGCTTTATAGATACTTGCACACAAAAAAAGCTAGAATTTAATTTCACTGTAGCCATTAAGCTTGTTGATTTCTTAGCTACTCGATGAGTTGATTCGATCTCTAATGGTGCTCTATAGTCTAGAACTACTATGCTCAGACTTAAACGGTTGATACGAGAGGAGAGAAACATTTGATGATAATTTATCGTTGTTGTAAACTTTTCAACATCCTACTCGTTAATATTA